ATGTGCTGGTTTTATAATTCTTGGTTTCTGTACTATGTCAACAATCACTCAAACAGCACAGTACTGCTGATGTCAGTATCTGACCACAAAAAAGCAAGAGCCAGGACAGTGCAATATTCAGGCTTTATTTCTACCTCAGCAAGACCTTCCTGAAAGTAGCATTCTCTGAGAGTCTAGGTGCATTGGGTTACTTGTTCCACTGCACCTACTGGGTCAGATGCGATGAGTGACCTAGAAAAATTGGAGGATTGGGCCAAAAGAAATTTGATGAAGTTCAACAAAGACAAGTTCAGAGTCCTGCACTTGGGTCAGAAGAATCCCAAGCATTACTATAGGCTGGGGACCGACTGGCTAAGTAGCAGTTTAGCAGAAAAGAACCTGGGGATTACAGTGGAAGAGAAACTAGATATAAGTCAACAGTGTGCCCTTGAATCCAAGAAGGCTAATGGCATATTAGGATGTATTAGAAGGAACATTGCGAGCAGATCTAGAGAAGTGATTATTCCCCTTTATTCAGCTCTGGTGAGGCCACATCTGGAGTAGTGCATCTAGCTCTGGGCCCCCTACTACAGAAAGGATGTGGATGCATTGGAAAGGGTCCAGCGGAGGGCAACCAAATTGATTAGGGGGCTGGAGCACATGAGCGACGAGAAGAGGCTGAGGGATTTGGGCTTATTTAGTTTGCAGAATGAGGGGGGATTTGATAGCAGCCTTCAGCTTCCTGAAGGGAGGTTCCAAAGAAGATGGAGAGAGGCTGTTCTCAGTAGTGACGGATGGCAGAACAAGGAGCAATGGGCTCAAATTACAGTGGGGGAGGTGTAGGCTGTATATTAAGACTAACTGTTTCACAAGGAGGGTGGTGAAATACTGGAATGGGTTCCCTAGGGAGGGGGTGGAATCTCCATCCCTAGAGGTGTTTAAGTCCTGGCTTGACAAAGCTCTGGCTGGGATGATTTATTTGGGATTGGTCCTGCTTTGGACAGGGAGCTGGACTCGATGACCTCCTGAGGTCTCTTCCAGCCCTGGGATTCTATGATTCTATGACGAGTGGCACTACGATACTGAATGCGCTGCAGCTTGTGTCCCCTAACCCTAACCCTAACCCCCCTGGAAATCAATGACGAAATTCCCACTGACTGCAAAAGAATCCGGATGTCACCTTTATCCTCTGTCTATTGCTAGGAGGAGATTATCCACCTGTGCAACATTTCTACCCTGTACTCCTGCCTATAATCAGACTGACCTGAGTCAAGGGACTCTGGAAAATCACGAATCTGCCGAAACCTCCTCATCAGCGTTCCCTGAAAACAGGAGATGGGACACAGGTGAGTAGTATCTAGACCGTCACCTTCAAGAAATGGTTACTTGAGCATGGGTTTCCCAGTGGCTTCTTTAAGAGCTGTTGAAGCCATACCCCACCAAAGGAAAGCCTGACAATCTTCAACCACAATGGACCCAAGACTCCCCCTGAAGATCTTACTAACCATCCTGGTCCAATTTGTAATGTCCCCTGTCCTTGTTCTGTCACAATCCCATCGGTTTTCCCAGAAACAGTTGAGCCGAAGTGTCTTCTTCTTTGCCCTTAGCTCCTATGGGAGCATAGGCCATCAACAATATCTTTCCAAGCCTCTCTAAGCAGAAGTGTGGCTTCCATGAAAGTGAAGCAGCTCCAGGGAGGTTTTTGTAGGGGTTGGTGTCACTGTGAGAGGGAAGCTGTTCCTCTGCTGGCAATAATAAGCAAGGGAACAAGTGAAAGGGAAAGTGGGTAGGTGGCTGAAACAGTGGGGTGAGGGAATCCACTGCAAGACAGAGCCCCCAGAGTCTACCCTCATTTGCCAAAGCAGCCCCAGTGGAAAGGCTCCGCTGCCAATCCCCACACAGAAAGGATTGTTTTCTCTCACCCTCTCTGAGGGTACATCCGTTATTTTGAAATAATTTCGAAATAACCAATGGCTTCTTCTGAAATCTGTAAACCTCATTCTACGAGGAATAACACCTATTCCAAAATAGCTATTTTGAAATAAGGCGTGTGTAGATGCTCCACTGCTGCTATTTGGAAATAGCCACTCACCAGAGCCATTCTAAGTTATTCCTCTCCAGAGTCTCACGGGGCTCTAAATCGAGATACCACATCTACATTAGGCAAGTCTGCCTCAAACTAATTTTGAGGCTTCCCTGCAGTGTAGACGTGCTATTTGAAAAGAATCTATTTTGGCGCATTTCTTACAGAATAGCTTATTTCGAAATAAGCGTGTAGTGTAGACGTGCCCTCATGATAGATCCTAGAGAAGTGATTCTAAAGGGAAATATTTTAGCTGCCCAGCACAGTAGAGGAATGTCAGGTGCTCTCTAAATATGCAAACAAGTGAATCCATATAAATACACAGTCTTACCATTTCACAGTCCTTATCACCTTGTATCTTGTTTGGGTTTGTTATTCCTATTGTCGCAGGCAAGTCTGCTGGAAGGATTCGTGTTTTCGCAGTGCCCTCTAGTGGTAGTAATGGGACACATGTTAATTTTCACAGTGATAGAAATGTAGCCGTTAGTCTGGTGTAGCTGAAACAAAAAACGGGACTATGTAGCACTTTAAAGACTAACAAGATGGTTTATTAGGTGATGAGCTTTCGTGGGCCAGACCCACTTCGTCAGATCAAATAGTGGAAGAAAATTGTCACAACCATATATTGATTTGTCCTTTTCATATGTGTTCATTTTTTTAAATTGTATCCTTTGGTATATATGGTTGTGACAATTTTCTTCCACTATTTGATCTGACGAAGTGGGTCTGGCCCACGAAAGCTCATCACCTAATAAACCATCTTGTTAGTCTTTAAAGTGCTACATAGTCCTGTTTTTTGTTAATTTTCACAGCTGTTTTGCAAACTCACTTTTAAATTTAGAGAAAAAACATGAAAGGGAAGAATGGTTTTTAATTTCCCCCAGAAGACAATACTGTAAATGTCCCTGCATGAGCAGATTGTGTATTAGATGCTTGCTAAGGCCACTTGTTTTCCACAACTAACTGCTTATAAAAACTGGTTTTCCTCACATCAGTTTTAGTCACACCTGCCTGTGAGTTTGTGTTTTTTTTAATCTGACTGCTGAGTTATTGGGTATTAAACCCACTTATTTTATGTGACCTGTAATTATTAGTATCATTGAGCAGTACCAGTCATTGATTAGTTCTTTGGGAGCCCTGTACCTAGAATGACATATCAGTGGGAGAGATGTGGCTGGATAAAACTTCCAAAACGCCGAAGGGTAATTTCTACACTGCAATGAGAAATCAGAGCCCACGTCAGCTGACTCAGGTGTGCAGGGTTTGAGCTGTGGCATTCAGTGGAGTCTAGAACTTTGGCATTTGGGTGGAGACTAGAGTTTCAGAGCTCCCCCCCTTGCATGGTTCACACTTGGCTCCACCCCAAGCCCTACATTGCTCTTCTTAGCCTGCAGTCCCAGGAGCCAACCTCTGCTAACCCAGGCCAGCTGTGGCCATTTTGCAGGTTTCTCATTGCAGTGTTGACACGACCTATATCATTTAGGAGCCGAACTTCAATGGGAATTTGTCTTTTAAAGTCCTGACAGAGATAATGAGGATGAGATTGCAGGCTCGGACTTGGCAAGTCAGTATTCCTGCAGGGTCAGGGTTCAGGAAACTCCTGTACAACCTGCTACTGTGGCTCACTCTATATGGGGCTTCTGAGTCCTTGTAATCTGGCCTGAACTCTATAGAAATTCAGGACTCATGTCTGCTTTTCCCCAAGTGCAGAGAATGAGCCACTCTGCGAGAAGCAGCAGTGCTCACTCACAGAGGCCTTGGTTTTAAAGATGCCAGCTGGGGTATCTCTGATCAACATGGTTCCGTGACAGTGACAGCAAAAGAATCTATGTATAAAGTCTATGGAAGGAGTGAGGATGGGAAAGGAAGACAGGTGGGGAGGAAGGAGAGGGGAGACTGAAGGTGACTTTCCTTCAACAGTTCAAGTCTGGGCCACCTGAGCTTTTGGAATGCCCTGTGTGGGCTCAGTGTGGTTGTCATGTAAGGATCATTGAGGAAGATGATGGAGCACCATTGCAAATGAATATGGAGAAAACATGCATGAGGCTTGGCTCATGAGAGAGAAATGCAGTGAGGCAGGGAAATATGAAGCAGGATAGTGCATCATTCCAGCATCCGCAACAGGAGAGATTGCAATGGACAGTATCTACAAAGCTCGATAGGAGATAAAAAGTCTAAAAAATGTGTGTAGAGAACTGATCAGTTATTTTGCACATAGCTTTTAAAAATCAGGTTCCTTGTATTTGTTTCCTAGCAACGACACTCATGTGACCCTGCTGTATGTATGGAAAGATTAAAATAATTCAAAATAACATTAAGAGCCTTAAAGGGCAACACTTCAGGGGGTTAGCATTGGGATTCAGTTGAAGTACTAGAAGCAATTGTTTCTACTGTGCTTTGAAGTTTCTACTGTGCTTTGAACTCCCCACAGCAGAGCAGGGACACCCGAGCAAAGCCGCCGCCTGGGTGGCTTTGCTCCTGTCCCCCTGGTCTGCTGGGGGAGTTCAGCGGCTTTGCCGGACCCCCCCAGCAGACCAGGGGGACAAGAGCAAAGCCGCGGAGCACGCCCGCAGCGGGACAGCCCAAGCGCGCCCGGGCTGTCCCACTGCGGGTGTGCTCCAAGGCTTTGCTCCCCGTCTCCCTGCAGACCAGGGAGACAGGGAGCAAAGCCGCGGAGCACGCCCGCAGGGGGACAGCTCAAGTGCGCCCGGGCTGTCCTGCTGCGGGCATGCTCCGCGACTTTGCTCTCCGTCTCCCTGGTCTGCAGGGAGATGGGGAGCAAAGCCTTGGAGCACGCCCGCAGCGGGACAGCCCAGGCGCGCTTGTTACTAAAGCATCAGTATTGCTATTGCGGTTACTAAAGCATCAGTATTGCTATTGTGTGTATTAAAGTAGCAAAGGGCTCCTACTACAGTGATGGGTGGGTGCTCTGAACCCTTTAGACTCGCTGGTGGTTTTTCTCCAGCCAGCCTGATAAATATACAGCTGCTTCCTTCCGCTTTACACTAAGTGGTGCATGCAGTGGCATGGCAGAGGTTTTTGTACTGAACTGTATCACTGTGAGAGGACGGCTGTTATCTTGCCCACAGTAATATTCTGCTGCATCCTCAGCCTGCACATTCCTAATGGTGAATGTGAAGTCAGTGCCGCTGTAACTGCCACTGAATCGATCTGGGACCCCAGTGAAACGTTTAGAGCCATCATAAATGATGGGCTTGGGAACCTCTCCTCTTTTGAACTGATAAAAGTTCATTTCATAGCTAACAGAACTGGACGCCTTGCACTGGATGGTGACCGTCTCTCCTGGAAGCACTGTCACAGAAGCAGGTGTCTGAGTGATCACAATCTGCCCACTGGATGCTGGAAAAGATACAAATAAACAGCCTTTTTCGTGACTCTCTTTTGGTAGCTTCTGGTTTTGAGTTCAAAAAAGAAGACGTCTGTGCTACCTACCTTCCAGCAGGGAAAAGAGAAGCCAGATGAAATACATTTGCAAATTCATGGACTTTCTTGATTTTTTTCTCTTTTATTGTTAAGATTCACCAAAGGTTTATGACTAGTGGCATGACTTTTAGAACTTCTTATATATCATGCATGGAAAAATATGCAAATTTGCAGCTGGATTTATTATGCTCCACTGGTTTCCTGTGTATACCAAGGCTATAGTATCAAGGGGAAACAGAGGTATATTTCCATTCTAGCACTGTGCATAAGAAACCATCATGAAAGACGAAGTGGGTGCATCTGACGAAGTGGGTCTTTGCCCACGAAAGTTTATGCTCCAACACTTCAGTTAGTCTATAAGGTGCCACAGGACTCCTCGCCGCTTTTGCAGATTCAGACTAACACGGCTACCCCTCTGATACTTGACATCATGAAAGATTTTTCCCACATATTCTTAAATGCAGTTGATAGGTAACTATCTCTATAATAGTGAAATATATTAATAAAGCCACAAAAATCATGTGGGGATTTCACTGCAATTGAAATAATAGTGAGCAAGGGTTGTCTATGTGATAATGGGGTTTTCTGTAATTTGATTTGATTTTATGATTGTTTACATCAGAATCAGCTGAATCCTAAAGTGACACCCTAAATTAAGAAGATTTATATTAGAAAGAAATATTAGTGTGCATGACGGTAGAGTTTCCCCCCCCAAAACCAACAAAAATCACATTTGTTCTTGTGGCCTATGGCATTACAGAAAATGTGTAAAAGCTTCAAAGCATTACAGAATAATCAGAAAGACATTATTCTTTATTGTTTGTGTTGTGGTAGCACCTAACCGAGTTAGTCTGTAACAGGAAAAACTTAAAATACAACAAATAGTCTGGTAACACACTTTAAAGACTAACAAAATATGTAGATGGTATCATGAGCTTTTATGGGCACAGCCCATTTCTTCAGATGACCCGAGTGTTGGATGTCCAGAACCCAAATAAATGAGGGAAGAAGAGGAGTTGTGGGGGGAAGGAAGAAGGGGAAAAAAAGCTAATTCGAATTAGTGCATCTAGAGCTAAAAACTAATTCGAATTAGCATTTTGCTAATTCGAAATAGCATGTCCACATTGAGTGGACCCTGAACCGAGGTTAAGGATGGCCGGAACCAGTGCCGGCAGGGCATCAGGTTAGGACTTAGAGTATGGAGCTGCTGCCTCAGGCTAGCCGAGGGCTGTACTTAAAGGGACCCGACCCCCACCCCGGACAGACAGTTCTCAGGGTTCCCCGCTTGCTTGTCTAACTCGATGAGGGACAGAAAAGCAGTCCTGGGTTGGAGTGCCCTGAGTGCCCACACTCGGCACATCACAGAACTCGGCCATCAGCCCGGCTGCACTTGCCGCAGGCTGCTATCCGGGGGAGTCAATCAGGTGGCTGTCAGGATCCAGGAGGCCCTGCAGGAGAGCTTCCACCCCTAGGAGCCCGCAGAGCCACCCCAGTCCTCCCCATCAGGAGCTCGTGCCCCTTTCCTCCCTCACCTCCTTCCACTTACCCCTCCCTAGCCCCCCTTCCTGATGTAAAAAATAAAGGACACGTATGTTCAAAAATAGAAACTCTCTTTATTTAACAACACTGGGGGGATAGAGGGGAAGGATTAACCTCTGGGGAGACTGGGAAAAGGAGTGGGAGAGGGGAAGAGAGAGGGTGGGAGAGGGGAGGGGAAAAGCTGGGAGGAGAGAGCTGGAAGGGGGAAGCCAGGGGAAGAAGGAGGAGGGAAAGTATAAAACTGTGGAACACCATATCTTCAGTACTGTGTATAGATGTGGTCTCTTCACCTCAAAAAAGATATTTTGGCCTTGTAAAAGGTTCAGAAAAGGGCAACTACAATGATTAGGGGTTTGGAACAGGTCCCATATGAAGAGAGGCTAATGAGACTGGGACTCTTCAGCTTAGAAAAGAGGAGACTGAGGAGGGATATGATAGAGGTCTATAAAATCATGAGTGGTGTGGAGAGGGTGCATAAAGAAAAGTTCTTCATTAGTTCCCATAATAGAAGGACTAGAGGACACCAAATGAAATTAATGGGTAGCAGACTTAAAACTAATAAAAGAAAGTTCTTCACACAGCGCCTAGTCAACCTGTGGAACTCCTTGCCACAGGAGGCTGTGAAGGGTAGAACTATAACAGAGTTTAAAGAGAAGTTAGATAAATTCATGGAGGTTGGGTCCATGGAGTGGTATTAGCCAGGGGGTAGGAATGGTGTCCCTGGCCTCTGTTTGTGGAAGGCTGGAGATGGATGTCACGAGACAAATTGCTTGGTCATTGTCTTCGGTCCATCCTCTCCGGGGTACCTGGTGTTGTCCGCTGTCGGCAGACAGGCTACTGGGCTAGATGGACCTTTAGTCTGACCCAGTATGGCCGTTCTTCTGTTCTTATGTTCCAAGCTCGCGGGGGGGGGGGGGGGGGGGGGGGGGGGGAGGTCTCACTGGACCATCTTAATTTTCATGCAAACCTGCTCCTAGGTTTGCATGTAGCCTTTGGTGGCCAGGCTGGAAGCCATCTTGCCCTAGACGGCTGCTTTCCTGTGCCTAGTGCGGAGATTGTGGACATTGGAGGCCTCCCCCCAAACCTTGATGAGGTCCACGATCTCTGCACTAGACCAGGTGGGTGCCTGCCTCCTGCGGCCCCGGGCAGGTTCCTGGGAGCTGCCAGCCTGGTCCTGGGAAGAGGCGGAGGGCTGGATGGCAGCGGGTGGCTGGCTCATCCCATGCCAGGTGCAGGGTCTGCTGGCTGGGTGCTAGCAGGCTTGCAACTGGCACAAGCACTGTAGCCAGACCGTGCCCCTTTAAGGGTTCCGAGGCCGGGAGGGGGGCAGAAGAGTTTCCCTGGTTTGGCCCAGAGTGGCCACCAGGGCAAGCTGGGAAGGGCTAGCCTCCAACTAGTTCAAATTAAGTGTCTACACAGCCCTTAATTCGAACTACTTAATTCGAACTAGGCGTTACTCCTCATAGAATGAGGTTTACCTAGTTCGAATTAAGCGCTCCGCTAGTTCGATTTAACTTCGAACTAGCGGTTTGTCTGTGTAGCCCCTATTAAAGTTAATTCGAACTAATGGCTGTTAGTTCGAATTAACTTTGTAGTGTAGACATACCCTTAGTGGAATACTTTTCACTTGTCCATATTGAATTTAATTCTATTTAACTCAGACTATTTCTCTATTTTGTCAGGTCATTCTGAATTATAATTCTATTCTCCAGAGTACTTCATATTGATATCATCTGCAAACTTGACAAGTGTGTTTTTTCTGCCATTATCTAAATCATTAATGGATCTATTAAAAAGAACTGGTCCCTAAAGTGATTCCTATGGAATTCCACTTGTTATGCCCTTCCAGCATGACTGTGAACCATAGATAACTACTCTCTGGGAATGGTTATTCAGCCTGTTATAAACCCATTTATAACAGACTGATCTAGTTTATATTTCCCTAGTTTGTTAATGAGAATGTCATTTGATATGATATTTGATATGGTTTGTTCTTGACAAAAACATACTGGCTACGTCTACACTGGCACCCTTTTCCGGAAATGCTTAAAACGGAACAGTTTTCCATTATAAGTATTTCCGGAAAAAGCTCGTCTACATTGGCAGGATGCTTTTCCAGAAAAGCACTTTTCCTGGAAAAGCGTCCATGGCCAATGTAGACGCGCTTTTCCGCAAAAAAGCCCCAATCGTCATTTTGTGCTGTCTACACTGGACCTTTTCCGGAACAGTTTTTCTGGAAAAGGACTTTTGCCTGAACAGGAGCAGCATAGTTTTTCCGGAAAAACACTGACAATTTTATAGTAGAGCGTCATTGCTTTTCCGGGAAAGCAAGTGGCCAGTGTAGACAGCTGGCAAGTTATTCCGGAAAAGCGGCTGCTTTTCCGGAATAAGTGGCCCAGTGTAGACACAGCCCCTGTGTGTTGTTATCACCTCATTATCTTCCAGATGTTTGCAAATAGATTCCTTAATTATTTGATCCATTATATTTACTGGCACAGAAGTTAACCTCATTGGTTTGCCATTCTCTGGATTGTCCAAATTTTCCTTTTTAATGATGGGAACTATATTTGCCCTTTTCTAGTCTTCTGGAATCTTTATGATCTTGCATGACTTTTCAGAGATAACAGGTAAAGTTTCAGATATCTCCGTAGTCATCTGAGAGTCCAATTACACAGTAAGATATGGAAGGTTTTTTTTTCCAGACAGACTGATAAATACGCAGCTGCTTCCTTCTGCTTTACACTAAGTGGTACATGCAGTGGCATGGCAGAGGTTTTTGTACTGAACTGTATCACTGTGAGAGGACGGCTGTTATCTTGCCCACAGTAGTATTCTCCGGCATCCTCTGCCTGCACATTCCTAATGGTGAATGTGAAGTCGGTGCCGCTGTAACTGCCACTGAATCGATCTGGGACCCCAGTGAAACGGCTGGAGCCATCATAAATGATGAGCTTGGGAACCTCTCCTGTTTTGAACTGATAAAAGTTCATATCATTGCTAACAGAACTGGACGCCTTGCACTGGATGGTGACTGTCTCTCCTGGAAGCACCGTTACAGAAGCAGGTGTCTGAGTGACCACTATCTGCCCACTGGATGCTGGAAAAGAGAGAAATAAGCAGCCGTTTTAGTGACTCTCTTTTGGGAGCTTCTGTTTTTGAGTTAAAAAAAAAAGATGGTTGTGCTACCTACCTTCCAGCAGGGAAAAGAGAAGCCAGATGAAATACATTTGCAAATTCATGGTCCTTCTTGATTTTTTTCTCTTTTATTGTTAAGATTCACCAAAGGTTTATGACTAGTGGGATGACATTTAGAACTTCTTATATATCATGTATGGAAAAATATGTAAATTTGCAGCTGGATTTATTATGCTCCACTGGTTTCCTGTGTATACCATGGCTATAGTATCAAGGGGAAACAGAGGTATGTTTCTTGTCTAGCACCGTGCATAAGAAACCACCATGAAAGATGTGCCTACATGTTCTTAAATTCAGTTGATAGGTATCTATAATAGTGAAATATATTAATAGAGTCACACAAAAATCATATGGAGATTTCAGTGCAATTGAAAAGATGAAGAGTAATGGCTGTGTGACAATGGGGTATTCTATAATTTGATCTTAATCTATAATTTGAATGTTTACATGAGTGTCATCTGAATCGTAAAGTGACACCATACATTAAGAAGATTTATATTACAGATAGAAATATTAGTGCACATAATCGTAGAGTGTCTGCCCCAAAATCCACAAAAATTAAAATTTGTTTTTGTGGTCTATGGTATTGGAGTTATCATGGACAATTCTCTGAAAACTTCCACGCAGTGTGCAGCGGCGGTCAAAAAGGCAAATAGGATGCTAGGAATTATTAAGAAAGGGATAGAAAAAAAGACCCAGAACATCTTACTGCCCTTGTATAAAACTATGGTACGCCCACATCTTGAATACTGTGTACAGATGTGGTCTCCTCACCTCAAAAAAGATATTTTGGCCTTGGAAAGGGTTCAGAAAAGGGCAACTAAAATGATTAGGGGTTTGGAATGGGTCCCATACGAGGAGAGATTAAAGCGACTGGGACTTTTCAGTTTAGAAAAGAGGAGACTGAGGGGGGATATGATAGAGGTCTATAAAATCATGAGTGGTGTGGAGAGGGCTGATAAAGAAAAGTTATGTATTAGTTCCCTAAATAGAAGAACTAGAGGACACCAAATGAAATTAATGGGTAGCAGGTTTAAAACTAATAAAAGAAAGTTCTTCTTCACACAGCGTGTAGTCAACCTGTGGAACTCCTTGCCAGAGGAGGCTGTGACGGCTAGGACTATAATAGAGGTTAAAGAGAAGCTAGATAATTTCATGGAGGTTAGGTCCATAAACGGCTATTAGCCAGGGGATAAAATGGTGTCCTTGGCCGCTGTTTGTCAGAGGCCGGAGAGGGATGGCAGGAGACAAATCGCTTGATCATTGTCTTTGGTCCACCCTCTCTGGGGCACCTGGTGCTGGCCACTGTCGGGAGACAGGATACTGGGCTAGATGGACCTTTGGTCTGACCCAGTACGGCCATTCTTATGTTCTTATGTTCTATTACAGATTAATGTGTAGACAGAGATATATATTGAGATAGAAGGTGCTAAGATGCAATGGTGATTGGCTTCATGGAAGGAGATTGATATTGATTTGTTTGATAGCATGCACAATGTGCTAAATGCTTTACAGAACAAGCAGAAAGTCATTATTCTTTATTGTTTGTGTTGTGCTAGCACCTAACCGCTGCAGTCTGGGAGCTGGGCTCAGTTGGGCTGGGTAGTGCACAACAGTCATAGAATCATAGAATCATAGAATAATAGGACTGGAAGGGACCTCGAGAGGTCATCGAGTCCAGCCCCCCGCCCTCAAGGCAGGATCAAGTGCAAACACTTCACAAACAAGGGCTGAAATCCTGAAATCTGTTGAAGTCAATGACTGGATATTTACCCCATAGACATAACAACTGAAGTAATAAGAGATGCATGCAAAAGTTGGTGAATAAGAATATGCTGCTTTACTTTCAGAGGACCTGATCTTGCAGTTCTGACAGTGTTTAAATGGGACATTTGCCTGAGTCAAGACAGGAGGACTTGTAACAATTAGTTCTGAAGTCAACACGTCAAGAAGGTGCGTATTTGCACATAGATTACGAGAGCCATCGCACTCCTATTTTGCCTGTTGTTACAAAGAATGTGATTCACCAGGTTTGGGATTCACATTCTCTCAGCTCTTGCTTGTGCTTTTCTTACATGAAACTCAGCCTATGGCAGCTGAATCCCCTTTCCAGATTGGTTTGCGGTCTGCACCCATCGGATCATATTCTGATGCTCACTGAGCACCCGTGCCTTTTCCTTACCAAGCTAATGGTAAAACTCCCATTCAGGATATAAATAACCAACACTAGTGGAAAAGAGACAGGCCTGTGTGTTGCTCGGCAATAAGAGCCAGGTAGCTGTTCGGCATGCACTGCAGCTTGAAGCTGTTCCGCATTTGAACACAAGTCCTGTTCCCACTTTATACATCTTTGGAGCACCCCTAAAAACCACAGGCTTGCTTTCTGAGGGTGTTCAGCAGCCACCAAGGTCATTTTCAGTAACAAAATGAGACTAAACTGTTTCTAACAGATGTGAGAAGCCCTCTCCTCTATGGGGGAGCTTGAGCAGATATATCCTGTATGGGAGTTCTTCAAACCCGTGTGCATTAAATATGACTCTCTGCTCTCATGTGAGTCTCAGTCCACTCAATGTTTGGGTGGAGGCTGCTTCTGCCCCCAGAGCAATATGTGCTTCCATGTTTTGGTGCCAAAAACCTGCAGCCTGAGATCGGACTCAAAATACTCCTTCTACTTCTAAAGAACCAACCTGCTTCTGCTCTGGGTAGTGAATATGGTGCAGTTGTGATGCTCAAGGGAGCAAGTGAAAGGGAATGTGGGTAGGTGGCTGAAACAGTGGGCTCAGGGAATCCACTGCAACACAGAGCCCCCAGAGTCTACCCTCATTTGCCAAAGCAGCCCCAGTGGAAAGGCTCCGCTGCCAATCCCCACATGGAAGGGATTGTTTAATCTTGTGCATTTGTGTGGCCCCATGGCCTGGCTACTTAGCATGGTGGTGTGCTCTGGACAGGGGCCCAAGAGCTTTTGTTTCATACATTCAGCTGCCTGGTGTCTCTGGAGCTACACGGGGGTTATAAATGGGCACGGAGTATGCAGGGGCCATGGGTAGGATGTGAAGCTAAAAATCACCCAAAATGGAATTAGATTTTAAAAAGGCTCCTCTTCGCCACCCTGCCACGTACCTTTGGTAATGGTCACTTTTAAAAATCCTTAGCACTTAAATAAATTATCAAAAGTTTCTACAGAAGTTAAAGAGCTGCAGGGAGGTTCTTGTGCTGGCCTGTATCACTGTGTGAGAGGGTAGCTGTAATGCTGCTGACAGTAATAATCTCCAGCATCATCTGCTTCCACCCTGCTGATGGTGAGTATGAAGTCAGTGCCAGATCCACCGCCACTGAACCGGTCTGGGATCCCAGGTGGAAGCGCTGAAGTTAAGGAGCCCAGGAGCTTGTCCTGATCTCTCAGGCTATGGTGCTTCTAACACTTGTACTAGCTTTGCCATTGATGGTGACTCTGTCTCTTGGAGACACTGCCAAGGATTCTGGAGTCTGAGTCATGACAATGTCCCCACAGGAGCCAGATATATAAAGAGAGAATGGAGAAACACAAGTATAATATAGAAGGGAATTCTATTAATCTCACTAGCACATTCATGCAAAGAATGAATGCAAAGGTTATATTTATTGGAATAAAAGGACAGGAAATGATTTTAGCTAAGGAGACATGGGTTTTTATATTAATAGTTTAGCTGCTTTTTCCTTACCCTGAGCCCAGAGCACCTATAGCCAGACACAATGAGTCAGAAATACCATGTTGGAGGATCTTCACAGGTAAATTCTGTAGATGTGAGTCCAAAGGGTAAGATGCAGTATTTATAGTAGCTCAGGAGAGTGCAGGAATGGCAGGTGGTTTGTGAATATGCAAAATAATGGATCAGTGTAATAACTGTAGTCTGTATTTCATAGCACAAATTACTTTGGATTTTATTTGGATGTCATATTCTAATCACACGCTGTATTCTTATTCCTAATCAGCCACAGCTACCATAGTCTTTGTTGTTTTTTAAGTTTAACCACATATATGTTAGTTAAATAGGACTGCAGGAAAGATCAGTTTTCTTATAGTTCCCTCTAGTGGTAGCTGAGACAATGTTCAATTTAACAAGAAAACTACATGTAAGCAGAATCCTTTGTAAGTGAATTGTTCACTGTCTTCACTGTTTCTTTCCTTGCAATACTCCTGGGTATGTCTACACTACCACCCTAGTTCAAACTAGGGTCCACTAGTGCAGACTCCATGCCCGCGGCTACACGCAGCACAAACTAGGTAGTTCGGACTAGACTTCCCATTTAAAAATGGCGGCGCCAGGCAACATGCAAATGAAGCCCGGGAAATTCAAATCCCGGGCTTCAGTTGCAACTCCAGTTGCCTACATTAACCACCCTAGTTCGAACTAGGGTGGTAGTGTAGACATACCCCCAGTGACGAGAGGCATTGCTATTATTTCCATTTTATAGATGGGGAACTGAGGCCCAGGTCCACAAAGGTACTTAGATGCTTTAGGCTAGTTCAGGTGCTACTGTGAGGCAAAACTCTGGCTCAGCTGCTCCCTATTCCTGTAAGTGACTAAATTCACTCTGGGTATGTCTACACTAAAGTGTTATTTCGAAATATCTTATTTCAAAATAGTTAATTCAAAATAGCTTATTTCGAAATAACACATCTACACACAAAATGCATTTTGAAATAGTGTTTTGCTATTTCGAAATAGTGCATCCATACTGAGTGGACACTGAATTGCATAGAAGGCCGTCCAGAACCAGGTCCAGCAGAGCATTGGGTCAGGAGTTTATTTGTGTGGCTGCTGCCTGAGGCTATTTGAGGCTTGAGCTAAAGGGACCTCCACCCCGGGCAGCCGGTTCTCAGCTATCCCTGCTTGCTTGCTTACCTCACTGAGGGACAGCAAAGCATTTGTGTCTCTGCGTGCTCTGGTTGCCCTCACTTGAGACACGGTAGCACTCTGCAACATGGAGCTGGAGCGGCCCCTAGGCACTCTGGTGCTTCTTGTGGACGCTTTGCTGTGAGCCTGGCTGCGCTTTCTGCAGGCTGCCATCCAGGAGGTCCATTGGGGGGCTGTCAGTATCCA